CCCCAAAACCCCAAAACCCCAAAACCCCTAAGATTATAGTCAAACCAAAATATCAGTTAATAATGAAATTAATTTGAACTAATTGAGGTGGAAAATTATACTAGCAAAGAAATCAAGAATTTGCAGATTATTCAAATACATTCTTATACTTGGCAAGAATATTTTATCTATCTACCCTTGCTTTATTAATTTTGTCTGTATATTTCTACTTCGCATTATCAAGGTACTGCTTCTAAATCTCCTCCTTAGTAATGATTTTTGAGTCTGTTAATTAAAATGAAGATCTCTCCTATGATTTCTCCAGCCACTCATAAATAAGATTAATAGAATCGTCATCCTAAGAAGAAAATCTCTCTTTTAGTAATTTTTGGCTTTCAAGTCTAGCATCTTTCAGACTATTTAAATGTCCAATAAAATCTTCTGACTCCAGTTTATCTGCCTCAGATCTGAGAGTCGAAGCTAGATCAGCTAAATCTTCCTAGTAAGATGTATCAAATTGATCCTGAGTTTCATGCTCAATCAACACATCTGTAATATAGAGTCCCTGTCTCTTGTATAGTTCCTGAGTATTCTACTCATGTCTGTCTATTAAAGTTGATGAAAAATCCCTTAGTCTAATAAAATTTAATATCAGAAATTTTTACCTTTCTTTAAGGAATTCATAGTTATAAAGTGAGATCTCTCTAAGATTTAATGTCATAGTGCAAGAGTCAACTTATGCTGTTTGAAAATCTCTGGCAAATAGATTTTCAATAGAATCTGGACTTAACTGTGTTTAGAGCTGCATTCTTACTTCCTCAATGTTCTATTTGCTTTAATTTTGATTGCTTTATGCTTACTATAACAGCCTCTTCTGTAAATGAATCAACAGTTATTGGTACTTTATTTTTATCTGAAGAAAGATCAAATTTATGCATAATTAATACCAAGTATATAAGGTTGACCAATCGCAGTGTCTACTTCCATTTTGAATTTAAAATAAACTGAATTAACTTTAAAATTACTCAAACTATGATCTTTGGGGTTTTGGGGTTTTGGGGTTTTGGGGTTTTGGGG